AGAACATAAAAAGTGATAATCAATACAAGAAAGAATATGTAAAACATTTAAAATTATTTTCAAGAGATTCGTAAAAAAATTTACTAGCAGGTGCGTGTCGGACCACTAAAAAAGCTTTCCTTCGATTTAGTTTTTTTGTTTCTTTTTTATAACATCTTTTAAACAAATTATTCCTAGTAAATTAAAATATTAAATCTGTAAATTTGCATGCACATTCTTTTATAAATGTAATTCTAATTCTATGTTGACTTACGGTTTTTGTAACTAGCTTGGTTAACTCATCCACCTTGGCGCGGAGTTGAGTATTCTGTAGACGTAGTTCAACGGCATCAATATCGTTGCCGCCGCCACCACTACCACTACTTTCGCCATCCCCAGTACTATTGTTACTAATACGATTATTGCTATTATTTGTTAAGTTATCATTATGGGAATTATTGTTGGTGTGGGTTGAAGGGGTGTGATTACTGCTACTGCTATTGCTGCTACTCGATTGTGTAGATTTGTTACTACTGCTGCTAGCCGCTTTACTAGCTGTTGTCAATTTCAGTTGTGTGGCCAAAACTTGTTCTACCCACTGTTCAAAGGATGCACTGAGTGCTGTGCTGGCACAAGCTTTAGCGGCCTCTGGATAAAGGCGCTGGAATATTTCACGTATATGTTTCTCTTCAAAAGCAGAAACTGTTCTTGCGGCATTTGCTGTGGCGGAGGAGGATTGTTGTTTCTGTGAAGCGGCGAAAAGTTGCTGCTGTTGCTGAAAGCCAAAAAAAATTCACGTACATTTTTTGTGCAAAGGAATTTAAAATAACATTAGGTGCGGACGAGACAGATTTAATAATTGAAACATGCACTTACAACTAGGCTTTCATTTGCGCTCTTAGGCGCTTTATTCTGTCTAGCTGTTGTTTCAGCACTTTGCAAAGCTTCAACCAACTTCCAGTTTTTCTTACGCAAATCCTAAAGCGAAATATGAAAAACATATTAGTAGGAGAATAGAAGCAGAAATGAAAACGAAAACTTATAAAGTTTTATTTTGAACTTTTGCAAACTAAAAATGAAACAAAATGTTAAAGTTGTATGCATAAAAAACTGGAAGTTTTATAATTATCCGATTGAACTAGTTTTCAACTTATAAAACATTGAATTCATGTATATTTTCAATGCATTAAATTTATTTTTTACGAAAGCTTATGTCTATATTAAAAAAATAAAATAAAATCATTACCAAGAACTCAGCAGGTTAAAATAGAAAAATGTTCTATTGTTAAAAAGTCGATCTTTTTTGGTAAGATTCCCTTTAGTGCGAAACATAGAGAAGTCGAAAATATTTCATTCAAGTTATTTACAGTTCTGTAAAAGATACTTCCAAGCTTTTTAAATGAGTAATGAATTCTTTCGTTGAGGGCTTTCGACAAAACTATTCTATGCAAGATTCCCTGCTGCTAGCCTTACAGTATTCAAAGTTAATTAGCCACCACACAAAAAAAATTTCGGATTTTTCGCCCGAAACAAATTCACCCGAAATTTTTGCATCCGCCCATCGCGAAAATG